ATGACCATTTTCATAATCTAAATATATGCTTTTTAAAGGGCAACTCAAGAAGAAATCTCTGCTGTTTCCTCTTTATTTGTAGATCTTCAGTAGATATGGTGTCTAATTAAGGTATATAGAAATTCTAAAAGATTAGAAGTGGCATAATACCTTAACAATAATAATTAGCTTTACTAATTTTTAGTAGTGGTTTAAGTATTTTATGTATTGTCGTTAAATTCTCACAACATTTCCATTTTCCATATGAAGAAACTGAGGCACTATGAGGTTAATTTACCACCAAAGTCATAGTGCAAGTATGCTTCTACTCTATGACTTATTGCCTATAGTTAAGGAGCACACAGATATTATAAAATCTTGAGCACTTTTCAAATTACATATATTTCCCATGGGCAGTGAAATATCTCCAAAGTTTAACTAACCAAATTCAATGTGATTTTCATATACAAATGCTTTCGGTTATTGATGCCTGAAATTATACTTGATATGTACAAGGCATCTATATTATCAGTATGAAACAAGCCAGCCAAGCTTTTATGTCAAACCACTTACAAGACTGTCCAAGAACAGGGCACATCTTATGTCAGTATAGAACCAGGTCATTTGTCAACTAAATTTTTCCCTGAGTAAACATGAACCTGCTGGGGCATATACACTTTCTATGTTTGTCTCTATTTAGAGCAAACTATCAAATGACAGATCAACTATAGAATTCATCAGTATTAGAAAATTAATGGGGCCAGCAGGTTTGTAGTGGTTAAGATGCTCGACTCTCTCCTAGATCCGGAGGCTTGAAAGTCACACTGGGTGTGTGTGGATACATGCCCAAAATCCTAGGAGGAGAATGAATAAGGGATTGCAGCTTGATCATTCCCCTCCCTCCTGGGAGGGGGTTAGATTTCTCACTTTCCCTCTCACTTTCTCTCTCTCTCTCTCTGTCTCTCACCAACAAGCACACCCACTCTATGGCAAAAATCTAAAACTAAAAATAATAATAAAAAGAGAGGGAGAGAAGAAAATTATACTTAAAAAATATAATAAAAAGAATGATAATATTCTGGTCTCCTGTTACATATAATACAGGTTATAATGTTTCAGTTTGAGTAAAAAATTATGCTGGTGTCATGTGCCTCAAAATGTATCAGAAAATTATAAGAATTCCAAGAGGGCCCTAAATTAAACAATTACTATCCTCTGATTCAGGCTACGTAATTTTTTAAAAAATAGGAGAGATATTAAGTGGAAAGAATTGTGTATTAACTTTTTAGACATGAAGAAATTAAAAAGATCCAAGTTTATCAAAATGCAGCCAACATATAGAGCCATTATTCATATTTCAAGTGATATGAGGAAAACTTATACCAGTTTTCATTTCTATAACTGGAAAACAAAGATAGAAGTAATAAATTCTATTGGGGTATCAGAAAAGTCATGATGCATTTTTGCATAGAAAAAAATGTCATGACTTTTCCAACAACCCAATAGATGCTCAAGATATTTGAGCATAGGAATCATTGTAAAATAGCAGAAGGGATCACACCACATTTTACCTCCATAGCTGGGAATATCAAACTACAAAATAACACTTTGTAACACATTTAAGAGTATAATTTAACAGTATAGCAACATTACCAATAAAAAAAAGTCCCTGTGTATTTGTGAGCTGATCTGAAGGAGAATTTTAGCCTAGCCATAGTAGTGCAGCAGTAAGGCAATGTTCTACTGTGCTGACAACACATGGAAAGGTTCTAAGTTTGCTTCCTGGGGTCTCCCAGTACATGCTGGGTATATGTGTGTGTGCCCATGAGCCTGCTAGCTGAGGCTAGGAGTGAATCATGGCACAAGGCCTTGTTTGGGCTGCCTGTACCCTCCCCCCCATTGAATAAACTTTTTAAAAAAGAAATAACAAGGGCCAGCAGATGGTGTAATGGTTATGTTGTTGGAATCCCACATAGTTGACTGAGGTTCAAGTCCGGACCTAGCAACTTAAAACTCACATTGTGTTCATGCACAAGATCTCAGGAAGGAGAATGGAGAAGGGACTGCAGCATGACAATCCACCCCAGAGGATGTTTTCTTGCTTTCTGTCTCTCTGTCTTTGTCTCTATGGCAAGCACACATGCCCTATAGCAAAAAGAAAACAAAAACAAAAACAAAAACAAAAACCTCATACTGGGTGCGTGCATGCCCAAGATCCAGAGAGGGGAATGGAAAGCGGACTGCAGCATGGCCATCTCCCAACTGGGAGGTGTGATTTCTTGCTTTCTGTCTGTCTCTCTACTGGTGCATGTGCCCAATAGCAAAAATCTCTCAAAAAAAAAAAAAAAAAAGAAAGAAAGAAAGAAAAGAAATAAAGGGAATTTTTAAAGATATGGGTTGTTTATATAAAAATTAATTATAAAAGAATATTTTCAACCATATTATATTCTTATTATGCTAACATTTGGTATTTTAGAGACCAGAAATTATTGAGGAAAGTGGCTCGAATTACGTTCTGAAATTTTTTCCTCCTCTTTCATGTGGTAAAGCTATTTTTGTTGATCTTCAAAACATGTTCTTTATTCTGAAGTTTTTCAAAATGCCTTTTTAAAATATAGTTTCTCAATATAACTCTATATATAGGCTTTGATCAGATTCCTCTGTTTATTAAACACATTCATCAATTGGTAATTTTAAGTTTCCTATATTTGCCAAGGATTGTAGTGACCCATTTCTCACCCATAAAAGTGACTTTAATCATAGTTTTAATATGCTTGCATTCTTTTTAAGATGTTTCCATCAACAAAATCCAGAGTCTCCTTCCATACATTTGTCAAATGGGTGACTTGGGTAGCATTCTGTGCATTTTTTTTCTTCATGAGGAAAAGAAAGAGGAGGGTGGAGTGAGGTGAGGAAGAATCAAAACAAACAAACAAACAAACAACAAAAAAAAAAAACAGGTCCATCTGGTACTAAAGATCAGTATTTGGAATTGTAATCCTTGTGTCATTATGATTTCCAACATTGTTCTTCCTTATTTCTGAGAAAAGAATCATTTCTCAAATCCCTGCTCAAGGCCCTCTGCAATAAGCCTAAGTGGGTTCCTGAGACTTGGCATTTGATATTCAGGTCAAATATCTAACAACATTTGTCTGCAGTGTCAACCAAGGGACTGAGCTCCTTAAAAATAGGATTGCATGAATGTTACTAGAAAAATTCTCACAACTCCACCTTACAACATCTTGGGACATCCTTAGTAAAATTACTATTCACTCAAAGTATGGCAGGTACCTATTTAAGGTGTGTGTTGATTTTTTTTGAGCTACTGTAAGGTTTGGGAAGATGAATTCAATGTAGAAAGGGAAAAAAAAACACTAAGAACATTAAAACAAAACATTAATAGATAGTCTTTGGAAAAGAGAACAAAGAACTAAAGCATCACAAGTCCAGCTATATTTGATTTGGAGGCAGTACCATGTCAAATATAGCTCTCTCTTATCCATCTATTCCCATCTCTATTAAAGAACTCTTTATGCTAGCTGTTTGAATTTATACTGAAGCCTATTTTCAAAAGTAAGAGCATCATTTGGCAGTCATTATTCGTCTCAGTCTGTTCTCTTTCTCGAGTTTTACTGGGTAGTCAGAAAAGTCCTAATGCATTTTGTATAGAAAAACACAGTGAAATAAGTCATGACTTTCCCAATAACCCAACAGTTCATGGTATTCCCATTTTCTCACTCACCCAGTCATTTCTCTTTTTTTTCTTTTTGAGAGGTTTTTCCTATAGGGCTCATGTGCTTGCCAGAAAGACAGACAGAGACAGAAAGTGAGAAATCACCCCTCCAGGGCGGATGGCCACACTGCAATCCCTTCTCCTCCATTCTCCGCTTGGGATCTTGGGCACGCACACACATACGCCTGGCATGAGTTTAAGCCACTGGGTCCGGGACTTAAACCACAGTTGACTACATGGGAGTCCAGCGACATAGCCATTATGTCAACTGCTGGTCCCAATACTTTAAATTAAATAAAAGACTGAATCAAACATTCTACAAGAAATCCACCCCCAATGCAAAAAGAAAAAAAAGGAAGTAATGTGTGTTCTTATTAAGAAGAATGGATGGGGTCAGCCCATAGCCTGTGATTCAAATCCTGGTCCCAGTGGCTTGGGAAATATGCCAGGTGTGTGTACACCATGATCCAACCTTCTACCTGCATCCTTCTATTTATTTACATTTGATACATTTCTAGACTAAGATTTCTGCATCAAATGAGGATTTAACTTTTAAAGATACTTTCCAAAAGACTGAAATCATTTCCATTCCACTAGTAGTGTACTTGAGACTGTGGGGACCAGCAAGTAGTGTAATGGCTGTCTCTGGACTCCCATGTAGTTGGCCGCAGTTCAAGTCCTAGACCCGGTGGCTTGAACTCACGCCAAGCACATGTGCATGTGTGCCCAGGATCCCGAGAGGAGAATGGAGGACAAGGGATTGTGGCATGGCCATCCCCCCGGGGGTGATTTCTCACTTTCTGTCTCTCTCTTTCTGTCTTTCTGGCGATCCCACGTGCCCTATAGCAAAAAAAAAAAAAAAAAGACTGTAGTCTAAGCATTCTAAGCATTAAAGGGGTGTGTCATAGTAAAAAAATAAATTAGAAACATCTCCTTCTGGGAGATGTTACATTTTATGGCACTGATAGTCACTAAAAGCCTGCACATGGAAAGAAAACAATGACAGCTGGCCCTTTTAATTCATCTTTCAAAGTCAATCTTCTTACCTATTACACTATTCCCTTGACCTGAGAAAATTTGACCACTGTATATTTGGCCATGTTAAGGACTTTAACTCTTGGGAATTGGAGAGGAATTAAGTGAAACAGTTTTGCCCATATAATGGTAGCTGGCCAAGCTGAATGATGGATACATGGTTTGTTATTCTATTCTATGTACTTTTGTATACACTTGAAGTTTTAGAATTTAAAAGAAAACATAAACCATAATCCATTTTATTTTTTAACAGATAGAGGAAATATTCCATGGCTCCAAACTGAGACGACAGTATGTCAAATCTCATGTTGTGCAAGTAAAGTAAGTATGATAGCCTGACAGGCACAGACATACAATTGAAAAGTTTTTAATTTGGGGTTCTAAAAGCCCTAGCATTTTAAGTGTAAAATAAAATATTTAGGGAGTGGTCCAATTGATTAAATGAGAACCAAGAATTCGGACAAACCATGGGTATCAGACAAAGGTTAAATGGATTTTTTTAAATTAGAGGTCCCACTTAAAGATCAAATCTCAAATCAGGAGATCATGAAAAAAAAGTATTAATAAGATAAGAAGAACGTCATATGCAGAATTTCTGGCTCAGGATTGGCAAATTGCTGAAGTAACAAGTCCAGTCTAGCTTAGAATTTTATTTGCAGCTTATGCACAGATTTGAAAAGCTGATTTAATATAAAAGTTGGGAAATTAAGAAAAAGGAAAAAATAGAATTCTTATATTCCATTGACAAAATATTCCACACCACTGGGCCCACATTCCATGTGTTCACAAAAAGTAGTAACAGGAGCTGTGCAATTGGCGGATGTCCTAGACACTCACAGTGTATACACATGTATTCACACCTGTCCATTTTGCTCTTTACCTTTACTGCCCTGGCCCTATAGAAACACTGTCTGCCAGCCAAGATATTTATCCAAACATTGCCGAGAAGCAGAGAATCTAAAATAGATATGGCAGTAATAGAAAGGAGTTCAGGTAGGCCGGTAGTCTATATCAGAAAAGTTCATACAAAAGGAGTTCAAAAAGTTCATGGGAAATGAAAGTGACATAACTATTTATTTTGGTGTAAAAATTTTAAAAATTTTGAAACCCCATACACACTTTTTTCATAATACACACTTCTACAAACTTCTTAAAGACCGTTTTTTTTTTTTTTTAATTTTTGCTATAGGACATGTGTGCTTGCCAGAGAGATAGAGAGAGACAGTGATATGTCACCCCCCCAGGGAGGATGGCCATGCCATAATCCCTTCTCCTTCATTCTCCTCTTGGGATTTTGTGCACGTGTGCACATTTGCCCAGTGTGAGTTTTGAGCCACAGGGTCCAGGACTCAAAATGCAGTCAACCATGTGGGAGTCCAGCAAAGTAACATTACACCATCCAAGGTAATGAATAATGAAAATACAAAATTATTATTTTAGTCACCAGAAGACAGATGCAAAATCCCAGTTAGCATTAAAATGTGCAGTTACTATTTATCACCTAGTAAGTGTTCCAATATGCTAGGTCATAAAAACCAAACAGGAAATAGTCGCCAGACTCTTCTCTTATAATTAATGAAATTCAATGTTACAAATATGTATTAATTACTCATCAGGTGAAAGAAACTGTTCTGAGATCTGTCGGGCATTACAATCTTAATATGAATAAAATACTGTTTCTATTCTCATGAACTTTTGAGAAACCTACTAAGTAATAAAACTAACTACTTATACAAATAACTAACTTATTTAGGAACAAAAGGCACATAGCAGGTACTGCATTATAGTTACTGGAGATCTATAGTTTCTAAATCCTAGCAGAGAACATCTAGACCCTGACCAAGTGAACTAACACACACTTATTGCCCGACAGGCTGTGGGCCCTGTGTCAGGAGCACACACTTGAAAGAAACTAGACAGGTCATTACAAAGATCTATCTGGGCAGCATAATTCCCTCAGGGAGGCTTGTTGTTGCTTTAAATAAGTTCAAGGACCATTGTTCTCTTTTGTGCATTACACATTCCTTGTTGCCCTCTATTATTTATCATCAGCATCATTAACTATTAATAGAAATGTGGGGACCAGCAGGTGGCATGGTAGTTAAGGCAGTGAACTCTCACATGGCAGAGCACAGTTCAAATCTTGGGCCTTGTGGTTTGCTTTCTCACTTTCTTTCTTTCTCTCTCTCTGACTCTCTCTCATGCTCTATAGCAAATTTAAAAATAATAATAAAAATTTAAATTAAATAAAGACTTCTTTTTTAAAAAAAATCTATTAATAGGAATATGTATGAGCAAAGTTCTGCTCTCCTTTGCCATACTAAAGACAATTAGAAAATCTGCCTGGATATATTCAAGAATAGAATTAAATTTTAATGGCATAAGATTATACAAAAAAAAATTAATACAATACATTGATAGCCCAAAAGGAAGAAAATCTGATAGACCTACATCTTGAAATATAGTGATAAGGAGTATTATAGAAATTAGCTAGTCCATTTATTAAAAATTACACTGTAAAAAAATAAGTGAAATAATAAGAGATTATAGTCACTTAGGAAATCCTAGTTCTTGGTTACAGTTTCTAGTTTTGCTCAGAAGGGTTATAAAAATTTGGAAGTGGATGTTTTCAGGATCTATGCTGAGTTACATAGAGTCTGGGATAATGGTAAATTCCAGATGTACAAATATGGAGAAATGTCTAGAAAAAAGTGATGAGACACAGAAACAGACAGTAGAGCAGAGGAGATATTCTGTTAAGTCAGTAGTAGCTAATTCCTTTTAAATCTTCTGGCTTATACATTTGCATCTTCAAGTCAGAACTGCAGATAAAATAAACCCAGTTCAAGATTTTTACTCAGTCATGATTTCCAACAGGTGAGACAACTGGCCTACTGTTGCATATTGTGCCTCCTTTAAAAGAAAAACAAGATGGGGCCAGTAGGTGGCATGGTAGTTAAGGTGTTGGAGCTCCCACATGGCCAACCGCAATTTGAGTCCCAGACCCAGTAGCTTGAAAATCATGCAGGGGCATGCAAGGCACGTGTGCATGCATGTCCAAAATCCCAGGAAGAAAATGGAGGAGAAAGGATTGCAGAGTGTTCATCCCCCTGGGGAGTGATTCTGCACTTTCACTTTTATTGTCTCTTTCTCTGGCAAGTGCACAGATCCAATGGCAAAAACCTTTAAAAAAAGAAGAGAAAAGCAAGATGATAAATGATTCTTTTGTTTCATCTATTACTTTTATTTTGTTATTTTTTACTGACCTTCCTATTGAGTCCATAGCAGATTCACCATACATACATAGATTTGCAGTAATAAAAAATGGTTGTGCAACACTGAGACTTTCAAATACGCCCACAGCCATTATCTATAATATGCTTAAAATCTACAATGACATTACAATAGCCCAGCAAATAAGATTATGATCCCATTTTAGAGATGAGGAAACTTAAGATACAGAGTATGCAAACAGCTTGCTGTGGTCAAGGAGCTGGCAATTGGTAGACCTAGAATATAAACTTTGTTCTCCTGAATCTAAAATCACCCTCTCTTTATGCTATTCCACCATGTCCATAAAGTGTCATTTATGCTGCTTGGGAAGGACTGAGATAGATAGTTGCTAGGAGCTTCACCAAGAAAGTATAAAATAATTCCACTTAGAGTAATAGAGACTCAAAGTGTAATGTATTTACTTGTTTATGCTCTGCAGCCAAGTCAAAGGGAAATTGTTAATACACACTGTGCTGAAGTTTAAATCCTACTTAAATGCAGCAAAATTTCAGAATAGGATCGAAACCATTTTACGCGAGAAGTTGAAAGATGAAACTGGGCCTTTATGTATAGATCCTTCCTCATTTACATTTTCAGGTAAGACTCCTTATGTATGGTATAGAATGTTTTTCATCTTTTAATTTGGATATGGTACTTTGTTGTACAAAGTATAACATTTCTCTCTTATGCACAATTTCATATACTGTTAACTGCTAGTGACATATTCAGGGTCCCAAATAACATTTCCTTACAAAACAAGGTGACCTTAAATTACTTTGTGGTTTATTCTATAAGTCACAAGTTTTTCTTCAGGAATTCTAGATGTCTCAAAAATACAGATTCCTAAATTCTAGAATGGTTGGAGTCCTTATAACATAAGACTTACTGCTTGGTACAGCATTAATGAACCTTATCTCTCTCGCGTACCATCTAATTCTCATTTTCTGTGTAAGCTGACCTCTGTTGATGGGGACAATCATCTCTCTATTCCCAAGATAATCAGTTCTCCCAGGTCTTGGTAAAAACACAGCCAATAGCTATAAACTGGGCTCTCAGTTCTCTGCTACAACAGATTTGAATGAGTACAGAAAAATATCTCTATGCCTACAAGAAGGACGAAACGGTTTTTGGGGAAAAAAGTATCTAGGCCAAGAGTTCATCTGCAATAAACATCAAAAGGCAAAACCCGAACATGATTCTCCTGAATAAGGAGCCATTCTGTTGAAATGCGACTCTCCTTGGTTTATTAGATGTTCTCTATTACAATCTTCATTCTCACAGAGCCTACTCTATGTGTGGGGAAAACAGAGAGAAAGAAAACAGCTCTTCATTTGGAGAGAATTCACCTTCAGAGATATATTTTTAGAAACTTGTCTGCCAATAACACAACCTCAAATGTAAAGAAACATAGCATTATATTCCAGACCCGGTGGCTTAAACTCACGCTGGGCACATGTATGTATGTGCCCAAGATCCTGAGAGGAGAATGGAAGAGAAGGGACTGCGGTGTGGCCATGCCCCCTGGGGAGTAATTTCTTGCTTTCTGTCTCTGTCTTTCTGGTGAGAGCATGCGCCCTATAGCAAAAATCTCTCTCTCTCTCAAAAAAAAAGAAAATCCAAAAGGGGATAAAATACAACATCATAAATTATTACATTTAATGAACAGTTATAAAGTATTTATACAAATGCTTTTCCAGGTACTGTGGGGAATTCAAAGAGAAAGAGAATATTGCTCTTCTCAGCAAAAAGCTTACTCAAACTTATGAGTAAGCTAAGAGTTAGTATATATGAGATAAAAGCAATAATTAGTATCATTATTCACAAATGTATTTTAAGTTTGTCTGGTATAAACTATGTCCTGTGATTAAACCTAACGCTATCTTCAGCTGGTAAAATCAAACAGTGACTGAAATTGCTAAAAAATAACAACTGTGTTATTTTAAAAACTAACAGCCAATGTTCTGGTGGTTGGGGTGGCTGGATCCCACATGGCCAACTGCACAGTTTGGCCCCAGACCTAGCAGCTTGAGAAACACACTAGGTGAGTGTACATGTATGTACAAAATCCTCACAGAAGAATGAAAAAGAAGAATTTGTGGTGTGGCCATCCTCCCTTCTGAAAGCCTCATATATCTCAAACCACTGGCCTCTACATATTTTTGAACACTTTTGGCTTACAGTCTCAGTAGAAGTCAAGTTCCTTTGATATGGTTTTTGTGGAAGACACTATTTTTCATTTGGAACCCCTCTCACATCTTTTGAACCATATTTATTTCTTTTAATTTACAAAAATTGTATATATTTATCACATACAACATGTTTTAAAATATATATAGACTGTGTGACTAAATCAGCTAATTAATATATGCATGACCTCAAAGACATCATTTTTTTTTTCGGTGCTGAGGACACTTAAAATACACTCTTTTAGCAAATGTTAAGAATATGTACATTATTATTAACTCTAGTTACTGTGTTGTACAATAAATCTCTTGAAATCATTTGACCAACATTTTCTCAACCATACCCTCAAATCCTAGTAACAACCATTCTACGCTCTGTTTCTAGAAGTTCAATTATTTTTAGATTGCACATATGAGAGCATTCAATATTTGTCTTTCTGCACATATTTCACTTAATATTAGATTGTTTTACATAGAAAAATATGTCACGACTTTCCCAACAACCCAATATACTATGCTTCGGGTTCATCTATGTTGTCTTAAATGACACAAGTTCCTTCTTTTTTCAAGACTAAATGGTATTCCATTGTGTGTGTGTGTGTGTATGTGTATCAGATTTTCCATAGATTATTTTCAACAAAGAACACCACACTATGAAGTGTACCATTAACGTTTGCTTTACTATTCTTTCTTTCTGTTTGAAATTTTACATATTTATATATTTTATATACTTCATATATTTTAAAGGAAAAAAAAGAAAACTGCATGGCACACAAGCACACTGTGCAAAAAAGGCAGGGCACAGCGCAGACTGCTCCTGAAAGGGTCTATGGAAAGGTGAAAATTAGCAAGAGAAAAGAGAGGCCTGAGAGGCAAGAAAAAGTACTTAAAAATTAAAAAAAATTTTTAAGAGAGACAGAGAGAAGACAGAGACTGCCCTACCTGTCTAGTTTTTTGGATCTGGAGGATGAGGCTGGAACAGAAAGTCTTCAGTTGCCCTAATCCCTGAAAAGGGCAGGGTGCAGCTCAGATGCAGATGGCTTCAGAAAAGGACTGTCTAGCTATTTGGGTCTGGACAGTAAGATTCTATATATTTCACATATTTTACACATATGGGTGTGTGTATGTGTGTGTGTGTATAGTCATCAGAAAAGTCATGATGTATTTTTGCATAGAAAAATATATCGTGATTTTTCCAACAACCCAATATACATGATTGGCAAAGTCTGTCCTTTTCAGTCAGTTGTGGTATGCTGTTCCATGACCCATTTGGCCTGTCTCCCTGCATTCTTGTGTCTGCTAAATGTCTTCTTCCTGAGCCCCTCTTAAGCCCTCCCTATAGCCCACCTCCCATGTAGTCTCTGATATCTATAGTTGTCCTATTTCTATGTCTTCAAATCTTTGAATTTCTGCCATAGAATGCATAAATGCAGTATATACTGAGCAAAGACATATAATGTTTGTCTTCCATAGTCTGGCTTATTTCACTTTGCATTACCTACTCTAGATTCAGCCATTTTATACTGAATGATGGGCTATCATTGTTCTTTAGAGTTGAGTAGTATGCCATAGTATATATGTGCCATATTTTTTAAATCCAAGCATCAGTTTTTCAGCACTTAGATTGATTCCATGTCTTAGCTATTGTGAATATATTTAAATTTTCAAAAGTTGATTTTTGTATAAGTGAAATAAACCAGACATTTTTTATTGATTGTATAAAAGCAAATTTTATTACTTAATGCAGTCAAGAGGACGGGTTTGTCTCTAGAAACAACAGTAACCAAACTTGATTCTCTCAGCCTCTTATATCTTTAGGCAAATTTTGATCATTTTCTCTTACAAAGTGTGATTTGTGGCTCCAATCAACAGCTCTTGCCTTTAAGCAGGGGGACTTTGGGGAAATCGGTAAAAGAGGGTAATCTCCAAGCTGCTCTCAAATTAGACTATTAAAGACAAAACATTGTATGATGCACTTAACTTATATCAGATGTCTGCACTCTATGGGAGAAACTGAAAGACTCAAAGACATAGAAGTAGAGACGGCAACTGTAGATACCAGAGGCTGCACAGGGGTAGGGGACTATAGTGGTGAGCAGAGAAAAAAAAAAAGAAATTTATTGTCAGTGTACACAGGTCAGAGCGAGACAGAGAGACTCAGAGAGGGAGAGATAGGGAGACAGCACCCACTAAAGGGGCATGATTGTGCTGCAATCCCTTCTCCTCTAATTCTCCATCCTGTCAGAATTTGGGGCATGCCCGTACACACACTGGCCCAGTCATGTTTTTCAAGCCATAAGGGCAAGGATTCAAACCAATGTTGGTCATTTGAGGTTCAGCCTCTTTAAACACAGGCTAACCAAGAAAAAATTAATAGCAGACACAAGCATACACAAGACAAACAGGTTATGGAATGGTATACCACAACAGAGTAAAAACAGGGTGTTGCCAAATGCATATATATGTACACCTTGAACCGAGTAGAATGAAATCAAAGGTGCACAAAATACAATGTTCTTTTTAAAAGATGATTAATATGATAATATTATTGATTTGATTATTGCATACTATATGCATGCTTAGAAAAATGATATTATATCTCACAAAGAGGTACAAAAATTAAATGTAAATAAGAAATTATGAAATAAAAAGTAAAATATTACCATTGATATAAAAGAAAAATGAAAGAACACACAGACAATTCTAATGATACCTCACTTATCAAACAGGCTGACTTCACAGTATGGTGCACTTAAATTATGACTTCAAAACTGTGAAACCGGGACCAGCAGTTAGCGTAATGGCTATGTTGCTGGACTCCCATGTAGTCGATCGTGGTTCACGTCCTGGACCCGGCGGCTTAAAACTCATGCTGGGCATGTGTGCATGCGTGCCCAAGATCCCGAGAGGAGAATGGAGGAGAAGGGATTGCGGCGTGGCCATCCTCCTGGGGCGTGATTTCTCACTTTCTGTCTCTCTGTCTCTCTCTTTCTGGTGAGTGCACGCGCCCTATAGCAAAAACCTTTCAAAAAAAAAAAACAAAAAACTGTGAAACCAAGAGTCTGAACAGAACACTAGACAATATGCAGCAACTACAAAACTGCATAGATGACTACATGATGAATCTCTCCTCAAAACTCTGGAAGGAAAAACTCAAATCAGTCCTTGTAAAAGCAAAGAAATACCTCATAGGCTAAAGTGAGGGTTTTAAATGAAATGCCTTGTAAAGTTGAACGCTCATAATGTTAATAGGCATATTTAAGGGCATATGACTATCATTTATTTTTTAAATAATGATCATTTCCCACACGAAGATGCCTTGTATACACTCAGCCTAGTGAATTGAGTAAGTACAAAAATATTTTAAATACTTATCCTAAATCATAATGAGTACAGTAAAAATTCCAGTTATAG